TGAAACGAATCATTCTCTCGAATGAGCTTGGCTTTCCCACTCGTCGCAGCTATCTACTTTGTGATTGGGAAGGACAGGTGAGTCCCACACGAACCCTAGTCGTAAGGCAGGTAGGGGAGATTGGTACGTGCGAATGTGGAAGGCAAATTTTTGCTTAATCTAATCACCGCGTGTCATTAACTTATTAGGGAGAGGGATTAATATAACTAGGTGGCATGCGTCCTACGCTGCTGCACGTGTACGAACCGGGGGTGGGTGGACCGCGTCGGGGAGCACGAGACCGGACCGCGCGGAGATCACGTGAGAGGGGGCGCCCCGAGTCGGCGCCGGGGTTTGCACGTGCCTGGCCCACGTGCGACCGGGAAAGGATCCAAGGAAGAGCGGAGGAATCCGGTCAAAAGGAAGTGACGGGGGTGGGGATGGTGGATGTCATGTGGGGGGGTGGGAAAAGAAATGGAGTGAGGTGAAAAGGAAGCATGCTTGAGGTGGGGAACAAGGAAGCCAAGGATAACCACGAAGCATGGGGGAGGGGGCGGGGGTGATAGGTGGGACACGTCGTCACAAGGACGAGAAGCCGTGGATGGGAACGTTCAAAGATATCTTTGGTAGCAGCACACTGAATCTTATGGACAAAGCTTAATGCAAGTGTGTACGTGGTTAGGCACTGCAGCTTTGCTTCGAGGGTGAGATAAGCTCGTTTCGGGGGGTGGGGAGGGGTAGCCATGTGCTTGCCGTATTATTGTTTCCGCCATTAATGTGTTTGACTGCAGCTTCATTGGTTTGCTGCATGCTTAGGCATATCTGCAAGTGCCACTTTGCGTTTTGTACATACTAACTGTATAGCACGGGGGGGAGGATAAGATCGAGCTCAAAGGAGTAGGAGCATACAATAAACACGAAAGATGCGTAAAGCTTTTGAATTGTTTACTTATCCTCCTCGGGTATGCTTGTGGCTCAAACATAGTATTGAGAACGTTGGAGTGCATGGTCTTACTTCTTCAGCATTTTAAGATGATAGAAACGATTGGAGTATGGACACGTTAGGGAGGGAGAGGCGAATTTTAAAATCAAAAATTTTAAAATTTAATAATAAAAAAATATATCAATAAATTAATATAAAATTAAAATGTTTCAATAAAACTTGTTTATATATATATATAAATAATATATCTTTTTCTCTCATCATGATTATGAGGCTTAGGGTATATTTATAAGAATAAATCCTAATTACAGAGTTTTAATTTAATTTAGAACTCTATCAATTAACTTATATTTAATTAAGATTTAAAAATACTTAGCAACCATAATAATCTTTATCTTGAAATTGAACCGTTAGTTTAGAATTTTCACCACAGCTACATAAATCGAATCAGTTCGTGATAACATCTCATTCCAATAAATTCACTAATGCATTATTCATAGTTGGAACTGAATCAATGGGGCAACTTAATTCCAGAGAGAGACCTTCATCTCACCATCAGGATTTTTCTTATAATAATTATTTGTGCCTTAGACATCATAAATATCATCATTTATTTTTTTGTACTGTGACAAAGCTTATTATCATGGGTACTTATCATCCATTACATGTTCAACATATTTTCAACCCTTTGAGGTTTTATTATACTTCTTGCTATATAGTACAATACTTGATTTAATCTTCTGTTTATCACGATCACGTAACCTCGAGTAACTTTCAAAAGTTCAATTCTAGTTTTGTAACCAAAACCTTGAGAATATAAAAGATTCAGATAAATTATATTCTTATGTATTTGTGGAACATAAGTCATATCCATCAATGTATGTAGCTCCAACAACCATTTTGATTTTTGCTTTACTAACACTCATGACCTCTAATATAGTGTCCTCATGCAAACTCAATTTACTAGTTATCATATGATTTAGTGAATCAAAGCAATCCTTCTTAGAGTAACACAAGCAAAATCTAAAATCAACTCATTTGGAAAGATACATTGTTATCTTTGGATATTGTGAGGATATCTCCATCACCATTCATCGTAAGAGAGCATTCACTAGTCTCTTCTTCCTTTAAAAAATAATAATAATAATTTCACCTTTAATATTCGTACTCTTTGCATATATAATACTAAACATTATCTAAAGACCTGTCATCTCAACCTACTATTCGAGATCTATTATTATTAAAAAATCCTTCTTGTTAACCTTCATATTGAGATCTATCATTGTTAAAAAATCCTCCTCATTATTCTTCACCCTGAGCAGCCAATATCTCACAATCCATATTATCAAATTTATTATATTTTCTAATAGCATGAGATATTGAAACTTATTATTCCAAAGTTGTTGTATCCTTCCCATACAGTATTATCTTCACAAAATAATACTGTATGCTTGGATGTAAGAAACAATAATACATCATCTTCTTCATAAATATCCATATCAATTTTTAATTAATTTAATATTCTTTTAAATATGCTTGGATGTTTTATCAAGTCTCCGCCTTCCTCCATCCTCAACTTATATAATTTTTACTTCATATATAACTTATTAGTTAAGTTTTATTTGTCAAATAAAATTTTTCTAACTTATCCCAAATAATCGTGATGGACTCATCATCAATAACATTATCGATAATATTACTAGTGATGCAAAGATGAATAGTACTCATGCACTTTATTTGAAACTCGTCACAATCTTCATTGTTTATTATTTTTAATTTGTTTGTTGTCCCTTCAACTTTCTTACTAAACCTTGTTGAACAAGAAAATCTTTTACTCTCCTCTGTCATAGTGTGATACTATTTTTTCCATCAAAGTTCTTGATAATAAAATCAATAGAAACCACCAATAACATCCTTGTTGAAAAATATCTAATTAGTGAATCTTTTGAGTTCTGATATAATTTTGTTTGAGAGGGAGAGGAGAATTTCAAAACCAAAAGAAAATACCAAGAGATCAACAATCAAAAGTATAGCAAAAAATTAATGAAATATTAATATGGTTCAACATATCCCACCCACATGTACGATGAAATTCAAATTCTTCAATGAGATTAATTACAAGGTCTTTAAGTTATCCTTACTCAATATCTTTCGTGTAAACCTATAAAATTTTCTCTCGATCTTCTCTAGAAATCTAGAGATCACACTGAAAGCATGTCTTATTATTTTTTTACCAAAATCCTGAGACTCAATGTGTATTTATAGAAATAAATCTTAATTTTTTAGAAAAAAATATTAATTTTTTTTATCAATTAATTTAAATAAAATTAGAACTCTTAAAAATATTTATCGATTCTAACATGATAGATACTGTAATTGTCTATATAGATTCGGTTGGATAGTGTTAATACTAAGCAAGCGTAAGATTGGCAATTAAAACGAGTCAAAACGTTCATATTTCATAAGATTAATATGGCACATAGAAGTAGGTAGCCATAGAGAGAGTAAAGGTAACGTGTGATCATGATGGGCTCCTCATGCACTGTTCATTCATGTTTGTGGAGTGAAAAATGAGGGGACGTTCATGTCTTGCAAGTTGCAAGCTTCAGAATCAAATTAAGGAAGAACAGAGAATGAGTTGCATGTTAACGATTTTTATTTTCATTTTTCAAATAATTACTTGTTTATGTTAAAATATTTTCATGAACTATGTATGCATTGTGCTGACAGATACTACTGACGTGAAATGAGTTGCATGCAACTTGTGAGTGTGATGAATAGCAAGCGATCATATTAGTTTCAGGACAATAGTGCATAATAATGTGTCTTTTCATATCAACACATCGCTATTTCTTGTTTCATCTAACGAATCGCATCGCATAATCTTCACCACTTCGTCTTCTCCACAGCCGCAGCAGCAGAGCAGTGCAGGAGCAGGTCACCTTCCTCCAAACATGCCGAGAATCGCTCGCGACAAATCCCACCTCTTCACCGATCCGGACACCGTTAGCTTCAGAGACCCGAGGAAGCAGCCCGGTGACGGCGTTGCAGACGTCGGATGGCCATTGCTCCAGATGCACTTGCTCTCTCCTGCACGCCATCGACGCTTGCTTCTCCTTGTCTTTGTGGGCGCACTCGGATGATCCAACCTCGACCACCGCGCAAGCCGTGCGCTCTGCATGGCCGGAGGAGGACTCAGCGGGGGTAGGGGCACGGATTCAGCAGGGTTCTTTGGCTGCCCAGGTTCTATTTCCCATTCAAATGGAACTTGGCCACAGGCTCTGTAATAAACCCTGGAGGAACGCCCTACAGATCTAGCAGAATCACCAGAAGAAAGGCGATCACAGAAGACCTCGGAGTCCTGCATGACATCCTTCGTTCCCTCCATAGTTTATGTTGCATATGAGCTGAACTCTGGTGCAACTATATAGTGGAGAATGGGTGTAGAACTCGTAAGAGGAGCCCTTTAAGTGTCTTTGCCAGTCACTGAGGCTTGAAGGATGGCGGCAGCAGACTCTTCTTTTCCATTCAATGTTTTGAGTGTTCGGAGAGATGGAGTGCTGCTCACTGCTTTTATCTTTTTCCATCAATGGCTTGTTTTCTTCTGTTGATGCAACTGCATGAGTACAAACCTCCACTATAAGATGATATGATTTATGAGAGTAATAATAGCAGTATTTGCTTAATATCATTTTGTGACTATAAGATTTGGCTAAAACTTGAATCCGAAATTGCGTAGGCATGCTGGTCGATGGGAAAACACAATTCGACCCCTTGCGGTCTAATTAGGACCCACGATTCGATTAAACCCGGCCCACATTGCATATGGGTTGTTGGACTTGGCGGTCTAATAATAGAGGCGATGAGCAGCAGGTGGAATTGTCCAACGAAAGCTGTGACGTTCCACCGGTCTCCTCCATCCAAACTCGGTCAAAACGGCATCCTCCGATATAACCGCCAGAGGACTCTCTCCGCCTCCCGCTACAAGGCATACGAGCTTGTGGAGGTTCTCTCCATCTCTCTTCCTATATATATCACGCTCCCCTCCTCTGCTACCATTGGACACCAATCCCTACACCTCTCCTAGCTAAGAAGGCCAAAGGCCAAAGGCAAGGCCATTTCCAAATGGCCTCCAAACCCAGAGCCCTCCTCTCCTTCCTCCTCCTGGCCTTCTTCCTCTCCTCAGCTGCGGCTTTCGATGTCATGGAGATCCTCGGCACTTACCCCGACTACTCCACCTTCACTAAGTACCTCACCGACATGAAGCTGGTCGACGTGATCAATAGTCGTCAGACCGTCACCGTCCTCGTCCTCGACAACACTGCCATCGCTCCACTCAGTTCCCTCCCCGCCGACAAGCTCAAGAGTGCCATCTCCGCCCACATCCTTCTCGGCTACTACGACCCCTACGTCCTCGACGGCGACCTCAACAAGTCCGCGCTCCTGCCCACCCTCCTCGGTTCCAGCGGCGCCGGTTTGTTGAAGTACACGGAGATGCCCGACGACCAGATGGTGTTCGGGTCGGCCGCGCCCGGCGCTCCTCACGACTCCAAGGTGATCAAAGTCGTCGGAGCGAGGCCGTACAACCTGTCGGTGCTCCAGATCGACAAAGCCATTTTGCCGCCCGGCATCGGGAGCGCGGTGCCCGCGACGTCGACGCCGCCTGCTGCTACACCCTCGAAAGCAACGGCTGCGCCACCGACGACAACGCCAGCGACGTCTGTCACACCGTCACCGGCTCCTGAGAACAACGGTAGTCCTGTCGTCCCTGTGGCAGCTCCTGCAACTGGCCCCTCGGCGTCCGCGGAAGCTCCCAAGCCAATCACCAGCACACCTGTTGAGGCTCCAAAGCCAGCCACCAGCGCACCTGTCGAGGCTCCTCAATCGAGCAGCAGCTCACCTGTTGAGGGTCCACAATTGAGCGCCAGCGCACCTGTTGAGGCTCCAAAGCCGGGGACTGGCGCACCTGTTGAGGCCCCAAAGCCGAGCACCGGCGCACCTGTTGAGGCTCCAAAGCCGAGCACCGGCGCACCTGTTGAGGCTCCAGAGTCGAGCACCGGCGCACCTGTTGAGGCTCCAGAGTCGAGCACCGGCGCACCTGTTGAGGCTCCAGA